TTTTTTTGGTTTTTCTCCGGTACCGGGAACTGAACTCACGACCTTGCACGTGCCAGGCAGGCGCTTTGCCGCTGAGCTAAATCCCCAGCCCCTGTCCTTTCTATCTGTAAAAAATAGAATTGAATTTCTAAATTCACCAGGAAGGAAAAGTGCCTGGTTAATACAAACTTACATAAACTCATTTAAACCCTTCCGTTGAGGAAAATAAATCACCAAGCACATATATGAAGATCTCCCAGAAGCAATCCAGGTAAGTAATGTGCAATTTATTTTTATCTGTGAAGCTAGTAATACATAGGCAAGGCTAATCCCCTTCTCCTTCAATTATATGTTCCAGGTTAGAGTTATTAAATGGCAGAAATAAAATTTGAAATTTGGATCCAGTATGTCCGATGTCCATGAACTTTCTGCTATGTCCAAAAGGATGTGTTTTGCTGAACCACAGTAAGCAATCCTGCATACATATTTATACTTCCACTCTTTTATCTCTTCCAACCCCAGAAGCCATTGTAATGAAAGCTTTCTAGGCTTTATAATCTTTAGTCATTATAATTATGCACATAAATCACCTTGAATGCCCTATTCTTTTCATGCATATTTAAAGTAACTGTGAATTTAAAAGTTTATTTCTAAATTTATACATAAAAACTTACCACATCCTCTTTTACACAAGGTTTGTGTGTAACCAGCAGCCAGCAACAGTTTTGCTTCTGTACCTCAAAACCATTCATACCCTGAAACAACAAATAAAATAATGTAATTATATAATACTTGTAAAAATAAGTACAATGCATAGCATATTATAGGCTGCCTAAATTAATAAGCTTAAGTGTTAATGAAACTAATTCAATATTTTGTGGTAAAGTTAGCACAAAACAAATGAATCAAAGTAATGACATGATTTCAAGGTAAAGACATTTAATATTTTTTGAAATACAGTTTTTGTAGAGAAAAGAATTACAAGGAATTTTATACGAGCAGTATTTGAGTTATACTCTGTTTTATTTGGCTAGTGCAGTATTAAAACACACACACGAGTCTGAGTTCCTTTTGTAGGACAGCACTGCTCCAGTACCACACGAGGCCTCTCATTCTTTATAGACATTTACGCTGTTCAGTTTTTTAAAATTTTTCTGGCTTCTGTGGGCATACCTTTGAGATTTCTATATTATACTTTATGTGTAGTCCCACTGGGAACTAGAACTGAAAGTTCAGTTTCAGGAAGGCAAAGATTTTAACACGGATTGAGGCCGGACAAATGTTTATTTGCAAAGTTCTATTACAAATCCACAGATCCTACCCTTACACTGGAAGGATATGAGAAACCACATGCACAGAAATCACCATACTTCTCCAAAGAAACTATTTATACAATGGGCCCACAGGAGCCTGCTGTCTGGCCTTGGAACCAGCAAGAGCTGTGCATATCCTAAATGAAGATTTTAATAAGCTATGTATCTGAGTTTATGCTGGTTCCTATAAGCCTCAGAGTAAAACGTGGGTCCATTTTTACCAAGGTTACAGGATCTGATGGCATGATTTGGAAACGAATGTCATGTCTGGGTTATCTTATGCATATTTTCTTTATCCATAAATTTTGCATTTTTAAATTTTTTTGTTTCATCTTTGTAAGCTGCTCCAAATCCTGTCTGAAATAAGGCAGACTACAAATACATCACAAGGTATAAAATAATAAATAAAATGAAAAGAGGTTTGGATAAACTCTTGAGCCAGTTCAGAAGCAGTCATTACTTCCAAGTGCATGTATGTGTACTTAGAAGAGGTGTGTTTTGGGTATTACAATTTAGAAATGCAAAGATGGGTGAAACATTTTAGGGATTTTTATCATGAACCAAGGCAAAAAGCAGGTAAATACAAGATAGAAAATAGTTCAGTTACAGTAACTAGCTGAAGATGAATAGTAGAAAACAGTGTTAAAAGGGAAAGCAGAGGACTGGATTTTCCAATGTAAAAAAATGTGTGAGTGACAAAAAGAATTCTGCTTTAGAAAAGCAGATGTGTTAGTATATAACATGGTTTGCAGGAAAGAGTGGTTCAGTGACTCATTTTGAAACTACTGGAAAAATTCAGGTAAAATAGGGTAGTAGGAAAGAAGGAAGAGAATGTGTGTGGACAAGAGTGCCAATGCTAACTGGAAGCGATATAAAAAGAAGGAGGCCTTGCTAACTTATGAAATCTGCAAATGACTAGTCAATGCTGGACCTAAAGAACGAACACATAAATGTACTATCTTCAATACTCTGAATACTGATAATAAAATGAACGTATAGCCAACTTTAAAGCACACTTAACATGAGCCAAGCATGATATTAGATGTTTAAAAATAAATGATCTCATTCTGTCCACACAAAATTCCTATGGAGCGTATACTCTTTATTATCATCTGTTGATGGATAACTCAATCCCTAAGGTCACATACCCAAATAATTCTGATAACTGATTTAGATTCTAAGTAGAATCACTTCAAAGCCTGAGGACTTTACCACTCACTATATCCTACTACTGACATAGGAGAAATAGAACTCCCAATCTGTTATGATGTCAAATGTGTCAGGTTTGAGGTTCCACATCAAAGAATGAAGTCACAAATCAAAGGAAAAAGTTAGGAAATCCTTATTGGAAATAAGGAGAAAATAGCTCCTGAATTTCCAGGAGGGGTCCGCAGTGGGTAGTGACCAAGGCCCTGCCTCAGGAGTAATTTACACAGCAAAGTCACAACATGGGTACAACATGAGTTAAACTTCAATCAATCTAGAGGATTACAACTATGGCCGCTTAGTTAATATTGATCCAATAGGAAAATAGTCACTAGCAAGGGAACAAAAACATTTTAAGGAACAGATGCTCTGATCACCAACCTGGGCACTGATGCCCATCTGGACTACTGGACCCCGGGTGCTAATTATAGTATAATTTCAAGTTACTGCTTATTGCTTAGGGAAATATGTAGGCCTGGTCAACATGAGGCCAGCCTTCTTCAGGTGCACCTCCAGCCACGATTCTGATGTCTACTTTTTTGTAGTGACTTCCTTGAGGTCCCAGTCCCTCTCTGATTGTAGACTAATTTCTATTTAACTCAGCTGCCTGTAATACTACAATTTAACTATTAGGGAAATATTACTGAAGTCGGATGAACGGAGTTTGCCAGTAGGATGCAATGAACATCTTGGTGGTTTTAATCTTGGAGAGGGGCTGACCTCTCCAAGAGGAGAACAAAGGCAAAATGCAGGTAAATACAAGATAGAAAATAGTTCAGTTACAGTAACTAGCTGAAGATGAACAGTGGAAAACAGTGTTGAAAGAGACAGCAGAGGACTTGACTCTGGTGGTTTTAATCTTGCAGAGGGGATGATTTGGTAAAACGGTTGAAATGCAGCCCGTTGCGTGAACCTCACATTAAAAATTGTTTAATTCCTTAAGTATTCTGGAAATTAAAGGAATACCGTGGCCTCCTAAGATAGTTCTCAGGCCGGCAGTTTCGCCATCATTTGGGTCCTGGTTATAAATGCACAATACCGGCCCAACCCTTGACCTGTGGAGTCAGAACCCATTTTATTAAAAGACCCCTAGGCGAGTGATGATTGTTTTCAATGCGCTGATCTCATTAATTCGGCTCTGCGTTCCCACACAAACAAGCCGTCACCGGCCACCAGCGGGGCGGACCCGCGGGCCCGGACGCCGCGTCGCGGGGTCACGGGGCTCCCCGAGCTGCGCCCTGGGGGGCAGGCGCTGCGGGGCACAGGGCGCCTCACCCCGTCCAGGAGGAGGATGCGGCCCGCGCAGGAACTGGTGGTGAAGAACTGCTCCCGCGCGTTCAGGAGCTGCACAAGGTCTACCACATCCTCGTCCACACTGCCCTTCCTGCTGAGGTCCGCTCTGCTCAGACACTGCGCCTTCCACCTGCTGAACTCCGCGCTGCGATCCATGCGTGTGGGACGGAGAGCCTGCACTCGCCACTTTCCCATTCGTCTCGCTGCTCACTGGGGGCAGCCATCTTGGAGCGCGTGGTGGCCGTCGAGGTCCAAACTTCCTTCGCGTTTGGCGTTCGCGAGCTTCTGCGTCCTGCTGGAAGCTAACCGCAGCGAGCAGGAAGGCGGAGTCTGGAAAAGTTGGAAACAGCCCGCCCTCTCCCTCTCGTGGAGTCCAAAGGAGCCATAGCAGGTTTTGATCCCCGCTCTGGAGGCGGGTAAGTGGTTTTTAAAAAGTCCCCTGAGCTGTTCAGGTTGCGGGTCTCCGCAAGGCCCCTACGGTTGGAACGGAGCTAGACTGTGTCTGCGCCTCTTTCCTGTAGCGTCTGTCTGTCCGCTCCCAGGGCCAGGGCCCAAGGGGACCCGAGACCGCGGCCGATCCTCCCCAGGGGCTGCGGGTGTCTCCCGCGCAGTGCGGGCCCTGGGGTCCCTGCGGAGCCCTTGGGGTCCCCGGCTGCCCGCGGGGGTGCTGTCTGCCTCCTGGAGAGGAACGTCTAGTGTCAGTGACCCTCCCGCTCCCACCCAGAAGAATTTTCAAAAGACAAAATAGACGAAATGCCCTGCCAAGACCTGTTTGCAGAGTTTCCAGAGGAGAATCCTGGCCGGGACCCGGGAAGGAGCGTTGATGATTAAAAGCCCGGAGCCTGGAGTTCGCCCTTCTCACCACAGCTGGGGGCCAAGTCCGCTAATGTCGCTGAGGCCACCGGGCTCGCGTGTTTGCAGCCCTGGCCAGCTCAGCAGCTCATCTCACCCTCTCTGGCTGGCTCCCAGCTTTGGAGAGCAGCCCGCCCCACTCCACCCCTGGTCACCATTGAAGATCCTGCCTGGCTTCAAAAGGATCCCTTAGCCGCCCCCTCCCCGGCAATCCTAATCAATGCGGACCCTGAGAGTCAGACTCCTGAGAAGATCTAACAGAGAATTGTTCTGGTCACCTTACAATTTCTTTTTAACATTTTAAATTTAAGAATAATAAGCAATATGCACACATGAGTCATTTTTAAGCAACTACAGCACATTTTGTAATGATTGCTTTTCTTTCCAACTTTTCAGTATTTTATTTATTTGTTTCTTTGGCCAGAAATTATTACTTAATTTTACTTCTGCTCTTGTCTCATGATGTGCCTTTATGCTGGCTTTGTGAACTGACTTGTTTATTCTGTGTTTAAATATAATTCTAGTCTTTTCCCCTATGCCTTTAGTTTTCATTTCAATCACATGTGCCCAAGCATATTGTGGTACGATCATTGGTAGAAGAATTACAATTACAATTACAGCTTTTATAGCTTCCAGACCTGTGAAATATGGTTGGCAAACTTTCAGAAGTAAAAAGTAAAATCAAAAAATTAAGTACTCTTAAGAAGTACTCTTAAGATAATTTTAAATTCATTTGGAAGTATGTATTTGAGCAATACAAAGTCCTGATAAAAAGAAAACCCTCTTGGCACGGCCTATCCTGTCAGTTGTGAGGCTGCAAATGATTTACTGTTTGCTCAGCGTGCTGTGAAGGATTCTCCCTGCATTTTTGAAATTTATCTTCACAGAGATCCTATGCTAGGTACTAGCCCCAGTTTACAGGTAAGGAAATTATTCATTTTCCTAGTAGAATTGTGCCCTGTCTCCTATTGGGCTTCCTGATTTATGAACCTTTGAGAAAGTTTGAACTCTAAATAGAAGTCTCAATCATAATATATGTGATCCTGTGTATAGGATAGTTAAATGTCATCTTTGTCGCTTAGTCTCTCACACTGTCATCATTGTAAAAATTATTTCTAAGAAATTAAGCTAGTATTTCAAAAGATGACATTTAAAGGCTTGTATGATAAGGAGGGGGAAATTAGCTAACATTGAAAGTATAAGAGTTGGGTTTTAGCTCTTTGTGTAACCCTGCTCAAATCTCTTACCTCTTTGCTGTGTATTTTTATTCATAAAATGAATGGTGATTTTATTTTTACTTCTGCATAAAATAACAGGTTTAATAACTATTGTTTCTCTACCTTTTGTGATCATACTTATATCGATAAAAGTGAAAGACTTGCTTTTCAGAATAAGTCAGGTATTATAGGAATTTAAGAATTATAATTGCTATTAGTAGGCCATATTATTTTATTCTTTTTATGATTCCCTTTGATATAGCTCCTGTATTATGAAACAGGTGGTGATCTTGTAGTTGAGTTCAAAGGCAGTGATTGTAGATTGGAGACTGATCAATCAGAATGGCAAAGGCTCAGTGGGAAGTAAGATCAAGAGAAGTACAGTGGAAGGTAGTGCTGTGGAGGTTGTGCCCATCACTTTACAAACTCTACAGGACAGAGTGGACCTAGGCAGGCCATGTGGGTATCCTCTACCTGGTAGTAAGGGTGGGTCTCCACCTTCTTATGTTCCTCTCTCCCAGGTTAGCCAGGGCCAAAGTAGAGGAAATAAATGAGTTAGATACAAGACAGAGACCCTATTTCAGGATAGTTTCGATTTTATTGTTACTTTTTGTTTTTAGTTTTTTAGTTTTTGTTTTTGGTGCTTAGGACCAAACCTAGGGCTTCCAGCTTGCTAGACAAGCGTTCTACCAGTGTCTGCTGATGGAAATACAGTTGCAACTGTGTGTGATCTCACATCTGTCTCTGTGTGCACCTATGTATGTGTTTATATGTGTCCGTGTGTACAGACCCAGTGTGTGTGAGCACAGGAGCTGAGGGTATGTGGCATTTTGTCTGCACCCTTTGTGCTTCCTGGGTTTAGCATAATACCATGAATACATTTTACGTTAAATAAAAGTATGGTTTGCATGAAAAATCATCAGTGTTTGGTGTTAATGTTTTGTTTAGGTGATCGAGACTAGATTCTCTGAGGGCAACAGCTTGTTTTCACAAGAAGGGTCCTGTTAATGTTTTGTTAAAGTGATTCTGGAATTGAAGAACAGAGCGTATGTTTATGCGTAAGAAGCTGGAAAGAACAGTAGGTGAAAGAGGACCGGTGAGGTAAACTGTATACGGGAGCCTGCTGTTGTCAAATTCTGTGCTTGCTGTGCACCAGCTCTCCAGCACAGCATGGTCCTTCTGACAGGGAGCCCAATTTTCCAGGGAGGAAACAGGCTCGGAAGGCTGACTTTCTTCCCAAGGCACCGGGGCTGGTAAGAGATAAACCAAAAGCTCAGAACCAGAGCTGTTGAATTTTAAAAGCCATATTCCTTCTGTAACAACATGTTGAAAACAAAGAAAAAAAGAAGGAAAGTAAAAAGCTCTGTGTTTTTTCCACCATGGAAAACTTAACCAGGACCATCTTTTCTTTTCCTGTTTTATTTTCTTTCTGTTTCCACTTTCTTGTCGAAGAAAATCCCAGCTGGAGCAAAGACCTGCAATGTGCAGTACTGAGATAGCGGCAGGTCGGCCTGCCCTCCCCACTGCCTGGGTGCCCTGGTGTGGTCAGTGTCGTCCCCTCTGCCTGTGTCTGCTCTGTGCATTCAAGCATGGCCTTTCGGGATGCATGATTGCTAAACCACTGGGAGAAACACACTGTTCTATATCGTTGTAACAGGATTTTTAAATGATACACTTTCGATTACTTATATCAAGAACTTTACATTTGTAATGCCACCAAAATAATTTTGGTACCCCTGCCACACTATGGAATACCATTTAATAAGCAGCATAGGATCTGTTCTGACGAGCCCTGTGCTGAGCTCCCGTAACGTCTGCACTCTTTCATCACAGGTCCTAGCTCCTGCAACTCTTTCTGATATTAAAACTGCTTGTGTTTGAGGAATATGATTATTATAGAAGTTAGCAGAGTGTGGTAGGTTGTAGAAGAATCTAAAAATCTTTGATTAGGTTTATTTCAAGAAATTATGATAACCCACAATTAAAATTATGGAGGTGTAGTTAAAACCCTTTCATTACATCTTTACAGTTACAGAAGACTTTCTAAAACTATATAATTTGATATACTGATGCTCTTTGCCTCCTCATGGAGTTGAACTTTGAGTCTTCTTTTCATTTTAATATTAACTGAGGTAGGATACAAAGGTTAACCGAGCACTTGTCATTTATAAGACATTGTACACAGAGCAGTGTTTTTAGTTTTTAGTACTTTTTATCGTTTGTTAAAGTCGTGTTTCAACACTGACAAATCTCAAAAACTTAGTGGTAAAACAAAAAGGCAAATTGCAGAATTAAGTACAGTACAATCTAAATAAAGTTGGAAAACATGCAAAACAATACCATGTATTGCTTACTAATACACATACAGGTAGTAGTGGTATAACAGGCTTAGGAATGATTAGCACAGAAATTACGGTAGCAATCACCTCTTAAAGGATGGGCCAGAAGTAGATTGTAGGGAGAGATTCAGCAGGCTTTAAGAGTATTTTAGGTTTTTACCCTGTTAAGATTTGTTAAAACTTGGTATAAGTGTGTTTATTACATTCTTTGTGTTTCTCAGTATGTTTGAAATATTTCATAATCTAACAAACTGGGAGTCTTATTTATTTGATGTCAATATATCTTTCATTAGCCCCTAAAATTTCCAAGATATTGAGATCTGAGCTTACACAAAAGCAAAAAGATACAGTATCATGCTATGTCTGTCCAGATGTTTCTGTTTGCATGTTTAATCCCTTGTTGAAGGCCCTAAATCCCCACAGGAAGTAGTATGAAGTATTTTGCTTTGTAGCTGAAGGATTTGTAAGATGAAAGGTCCTTAAACATGAAATGAGATCAGTGGTAACCGTATGATTTAAGTTGTTTTTTTGAAAAGTTGTTTGATCTGTCCCCTCAAGGAGGAAAAAATAGTGATAGCCTACATACTACATATATTATGACAATATATTGATTTTTCTTTTCCTTAGTATCTGCATCACCATGGCGACTGGACAGAAGTTGATGAGAGCTATTAGAGTTTTTGAATTTGGTGGACCAGAAGTGCTGAAACTCCAGTCGGATGTGGTAGTGCCGGTTCCAAAAGACCATCAGGTGGAAATAATTACTTTACCCAGGCAGTGATTATTCCAACTGTGAGGCTCTCGTACATTAAGTTAGGGTTGAGAAGAATCACAATGATTTCTTAAGACACTGAATTTGGACAGAATTTGCAGTGTTTATATTTTTGAACTTGACAAAATTATCATAAATCTAATTAATGAAGTAGGCTTAGAAAACAGTTATGAGAAAAGTTTTGAAGTGGAGACTTCCCTATGGAGTGCAATAATTGGATTTTTCTGAATGGAGTCATAAGCAGTTCTGAGTCAGTTTTCCTGTTGCAGACTTCCAAGATTTTTATTTCGCACATGGTGGGAAAACAATTTGGTTCTTCAGTCATGCTTTTTCACATATGATTTAAGATAATTTAATTGAAGAGTTTAATCATCTCCAGTGACTTTAACAATATCCTTTTGATTCAAAATTATGTAGTTTTATTACTGCATCTTCCATAGCTCCTAAGTCTAATTTCCTCAGCAAGCCTTAGGAGAATTTTTACAATTTAACTATAACTTATCTTTACAGATTTATTTCTTATTACTTCCTCAGTAGGCTGGGCTGCAACATCATCAGACTTTATCCATTTTTCCCAAACAGCCCTTACATTCCTTCTATCAGTGTATATCCCCTTCTTTTTACCTGAAATACCCATTTTTCTCCCATCCTTACAGAACTTCTACTCGTCTTTTAAGGCTACGAATACCACTACTAATTCTTCTGTAAGCTGCCTCTTACTCTTATATCAGAGAGAATTATTCTGTGTTAATGGTAAAATTAGCCACTCTTGTAAATGTAACTGCAAAATCTTAATGGTTCAAAAGTAGAATGTTATTTCCCAAATTTTAAACTGCTAGTGGCTTGCTCACCCCCACAGTAAAGAAGACAGAAGCTTCTGTCATCATATGATTGCCAACTTGACGGTGTGACTTCCAGGTTTCTCGGGAAGGATGAAGGTGTGCACTGCCCAGGAAAGTTTCTCTGGGGCAGTCAGAAATAGCCACCTTCACTTACCTTCCACGGGCTGTAGCCCAGTCCCTTGATTATTCATAATTATAAAGAAGGCCAAAAAATCAAGTCTGTCCTAGGTACCTAGGAAGAGGAGGAACTATTCCATGAAAATATAGAGGTCTCTGCTCTATATCCTTTAAATATTTCTTCTACTGTTTTCCCAATTTCTTTAACTATAGCATTTTTTTTTTCATATTGCCTTCTTTTTATTTACGTGTTAGAAAAATTAAGAATATGAGCTTATTGAGAGCAAGGACTTACTTGTCTTGTTTTCTTCACTTTTATAGTTCCCATAATACTGAATTAGTGCCGAAATGCTCCATGTGAACTAAAATACCTTGTCATTGCAGGTTCTAATCAAAGTCCACGCATGTGGCGTCAACCCAGTGGAGACATATATTCGCTCTGGTACTTATAGTAGAATCCCACCCTTACCATACACCCCTGGTACTGATGTGGCAGGGGTAATAGAATCCATTGGCGATAACGTGTCTGCTTTCAAGGTATTACATTTTTAATTATTTCTGTTTTTGCTTAATACTCTTTTTTCTTAAAATCCTTTAACACAGCTTTAAAACATATCTGTATTTAAGGCTTTCAAAGGCCCCATTACGTAGTTTCTGCCACTTGGGGGACTCCTCTAGTCAAAAAAGAAGTGATTTCTTATCCAGACCCCGGTGTGTTTGCATTGATGGGAATAAATGCCTGATAATTTCTGTGTCTTTACATTTCCACAGAATAAACTGTGATCCTTTGGATTTAATACAGATTTGCCAATAAAATTCTACTTAGGATTTCCTCTTAGTAGTTGTCAAGCCAAGCTATTTAAAAAATTATTTTATAAATTTAGTTGCGTGAAATAAAGGGAAAATGAATTCTGTTGAAGAGTAGGTAAAGTGTGAAAACATGCAAGGTCACTATACAGTTCAGAGCTTTGAATCAGACTAAGGTCAGTAAAAGTGCTGTGATCAGGGCCTTTGCTGTTTGTATGCCAGCAGAATAGAAAGCATTGATAGTGTGCTCAGAGCACACTCGTGTTCTAGCTTCTTTCCCCATAATGTCCTGACCTGCTCAACTTTGGCAGCACATTTACTAAGATCGGGCTGAGAGTGAGCAGAAGAATGTGCCCCTGTCCAGGAGGGTGGCGAATTCTTACAGTGTTTCCACTTCTCAGCCGTAGCAATCTGGCTTTTGCCCCTGTTGCTCCTCTGAAACGATTCTTGCTAATGTCACTAATGGCCTCTGTATGGCTGGAGCTAATGGGCCCTTTTATGTCATTATCTTTCTTGACTTCCCTTGACACTTGATGCTCTCAACCACTTAAATTTTTCTTAAAAACCTTTCTTCAGCTTCTGTGACTTCATTTGCTCTTATCCTCCTGTCCGCCTCCTCACTGGGTATTATTTTTTGAGGCCTCTTTAACTCTAGATGCTTCACAAATGTTGGTGCTACCCAGAGCTCTCTGTCCCTATCACAGCTCTGCTTTTTGTATGTGTGCTGGGAACCTTCGTTATGATGATGCCAGCACTCCCTTTATTTCTAGTATCAGATGTGATACCTTTAGTTTAGGGTTTTCAACTAAGCTTGGAACTGTGCTATCCAAAATGGTAGCCACTGGTTGTATGTGGCAATTAAAAAATGTAAATCAAGTTCACTTAAACTCAAGTTGAAAATCCAGCTCCTCAGTCACCCTGGCAGCGTTTCACATGCTTAATAGTCCACACATCTCGCCTGTACTCTACTAGACGGCACAGATGTAGAACATTTCCATCATCACAGAAAGCTCTGCTGCACAGCACTGGACCCACAAGGTCGGAATAAGGAGCCTCTTCCTAAGCTCGTCTACAACAGCTCATGTTTTCTTACTGCAGGTCCATTCTTTTCTTGTTTCACTGCAATGGCGACTTCAGGGGTTTAAGTTGTATCTCAGTTTTCCTCACTCAGCTCTCCCTTACTAGAACTACTTTTTCCCTCCTCTTTGTCCTACCAGAGAGGGAGAAAGAGGGAGAAAAGGAGGGATAGGAACATTCCTTTCTGGCTTATTTATTTAGCTACTGGGCTAATCATTAGTTAAATCCACTTATAAGTACAGCACCCCCATGACCCAGTTACCCTCCAGAGACTTTTGAAGAACATTTTAGATCTATACTGTAGCACACTGAAATCAGTTTTCGGCATATTTAAGCTGCAGAAAGAGAACTGGTCTTAGTCTAATCATGCTTGACCGTTTGCAGGAGAGAGTACTGAGTGATGATGCTTTTCTTTATCTCTTGGATACCCTTTGAATCTTTATTTTGTATCTATCCTTCTGAGTGATGCTGTTACTATTCAGATTTCTTTATTATAGGACTAATGTATACTGAGCAGCCTGATGTTTTGCCTACTCCAAAGAATTTTTACTTTATATTTTTCCAAGAAAGAAGAGTTAGGGTGGGTGATTACAATGGGCAGTCTGATTTCCCCTGGTGTAAAAATTGTATTGGAGCTCTAAAACCATGCGTGTACTTTTCATTTTTTTTTTTTTTTGGTTTTTCTCTGGTACCTGGAACCGAACTCACGACCTTGCACTTGCCAGGCAGGCGCTTTGCCACTGAGCTAAATCCCCAGCCCCCATGCATGTACTTTTCGATGATGAGGGCCCAGCAGATGTTCATTGAGAGTTTACTCTGATTCTGCTGACAAATAAAGAGGCCCATTGTCCCCTGGGGGTCCTCACGTGTTTCCTGCTTTTGGGCGTATGCATGGAAAATGATGGGAAGGCATGGGTGAGGATACCCACAAAAAGCATTTGGTATGTGGAAGAAACTTTACACTCAAGTATCGTGCACACAAGTAACTATTTGTGGTGACTGCCACTTGCCAAGTACTTGGGAGGAGGGAACTGCAGAACGTTTTTGTGCTTCAGTTTCCTTGTCTGTGTGGTGGGATTTAAAGTGCAGGTAATAATAGTGCCCATCACACAGTACTGTGAAGATCAAATAGCATAATGCTCATAAGACCCTGAATGCATTGCCTGGCTTCATAAGATCCCGGCGAAGGTGACTCCTCATCACTGTCATCATTATGTGCTTTAAGAGCTTCTCCTTTTGACTTTCCCATTTGCCTTCATTTTTCTTTTCATTGGTTTCCATCAATAAAACATTTTATAGCATTTGGTATTCTAAAATTGTTTTTATGAGGTTCTAAGATGTAAGAAACAGTGTGTGAGTGTGTATCTGTGATGGTACCAGCTTTGCTATAAAGGACTATGCCCGTTCTGCCGCATGTATTAATGTGATCTCTTCCCTAGAAAGGTGACAGGGTCTTCACTACCAGCACCATCTCGGGGGGCTACGCAGAGTACGCCCTTGCCGCAGACCACACCGTGTACACACTGCCTGAGAAGCTGAACTTCAGGCAGGGAGCTGCCATCGGTATCCCGTACTTCACTGCGTGCCGGGCTCTGCTCCACAGGTAAAGGGACACTGAATGTTGTAGCCAGTGCCAGAGGAGAGCAGCGTCAACTGCTTTCCATCTGGCCATCCGTCCATGCATCTCTGTTACTTTGGTTACTAGTTATTTACCATTAAGCATTTACGGAATGGAAACTATTAATTTGGGGGATTGTGGCGATCGCTGGGTGCTCAAAGCAGAGCAAACATATGTTAAAGATCCTCACAGTCCAGAGAGAAGGACAGACCTCAGAGCACTAATGTTCAGTGTGGGAAGTACGGAAGGGAGGCGTGTGAAGGGATTTACAGGATCACCAGGGATGTGTCTGTGGGGGTGAGGCACGGTTTCCTGGTGAAGTATAAGACTTGGATTATTTTAAAGCTGTGGTTCGTAAAATCCTGTTATCTGTTAGAACCATCTGGGCAGCAATTTCAAAGTACACTCTGGGCCCTACCCTAGACCCACTGAGACTTGAGAATCTATGTTTTGATCAGATCCGGAGGAGGAGCAGCTGGGGGGTATAAGGATATTTCTAACAATGGCAATAGCGTGGTGTGTGGGGAAAACTGCATGGTGTCTGAGGAGAGCTGCAGCAATTTGATTTTCTTGAATAGAAGATTTCAAAGCAAAGAACTGCAAAGAATAAGGTTGGAGCACAATCTCTTAAAAAAGTGTTAGCTGTTACCATAAAATAAACAGGTTTAAGATGGTAGAGATCTAGGTTACGGCACTCGCACATTGTTCTGTAATGGACTGAGGGTCATGAGGTGTCTGATTCAGGAGAGTGTTATTATTACATTTGTGTCTCACTGGGATCACTGATCTGCTGTGTGCAGGATGGATTTGAAGACAGGGGTGGAGGGAGAGATAGAGTCTTGTAGGAGATCCCTCTGAACAAAATGTTTATGGGGCCAGAGCAAATGTTATGTTAAAAGAGGTGGAGAGAAAAGATCTACTATTTAGCGTGGGTAAAAGCAGGGGTTTTTGGTAATTATTTCCAAGTGGAAAGTATTCCCAGGGAGAGGGAGAATTTATGGGCGCAGGTAGCTTTCTATCTGGGGTAATTATCAGGGACCTGGCCAAGATCCCCAATTGCCTGCTTGAGGGGTATGGCTAAAGGATGAAATAAGAAACAGATAAATTTAGTCATGCATGACGGGGGTCTAGGAGGTCAGTGCCTTACAGCAGGCAGAGACAAAGACACTCCCGACCAGCCACTATTTATTGGGGGGATATAATGTTAGGAGGGGCTAGCAGAAGATTCCAGGTCAGTGGAAGAATCAGAGGTGGGTGACTCAGTGACATGGATGACTTAGGATGACTCGAGTGCGTGGAGGTGGTCTTCTGCTAAGAAGGATCTTGCCCTGCAGTCTTTTTCAATCTAGTGGTCTTAGTTTTAACCTTAGTGGGTGGAAGAGGATGGCCTACCCCTAAAGAGACAATGGGAAATCTCAAAAGGGTGATGCCTGGTGCCGATAATCCCAAACCCACTTTATCCTTCAAGGAAGGGTGCAGAGTTAGCCATTGTGAATTTGTGGTCCCCAACAGGTAATATATAATTGCAACAGAGAGAAGGTGCAGAAATTGTTGAAGGTAAATGGTGCTCAGTTTTGGATGTCTCAGTGGAGAAGCCCAGGCACCTGTGGAATAAGCGAGTCTGGAGTTTGATGGCTGGAAACAGAAGTTTGCGACTGTCAGCATGTAAGGGAGAGCATACAAGATGAAAAGTGATGGTTACCACTTAGGGAGTGAGAATAGGACCCTCGGTGTTAAAGAATGTGGTCACAGGGAGGGAACAGAGTCTTCAGGGACCAGAAGGGAGTGGCTCTCAAGGTCAAGAGAGTATCAGGGTTCTAATACTCATTTAGCCTTCAGTAAGTTCATGGAAATAAAAGAAAACCCTGGGCTAGAGTACTGTCTTCACTCGGTACTAAGTATACAAACTTGGTCAGGGTGCTTGTCCATGTCAATTACAGCTTACTGATTTGAAAGTCATGGATTACAACAGCAGCTACTCCTGGGGTGTGGTGGAAAGGAAAAGCTCTCAGGATAGCACCTGTCGGCATGTTAGGAGCAGTTGTTGCTGAGGGCTGCTAAGGCGGGAAGCTGAGGGTCACATGTAGCAATGAGGTCTCTGCAGAAGAAGCAGTGGTCGGGCTTAGCTGTGATAGCTCATGAAGATGCAGAAGTTTTGCAAATCTACAGTTCGCTGAGGTAGGCTGGAGATTCAAGAAGAGCTGTGGTTGAAGTTCACAGGCAGCCCTCTGGCAGGATTCTCTCTTGCTTGGAGGAGGTCAGTCTTTGTTCTGTGCAGACTTTCAACTGATTGGATGAGGCCCACCCCGCCTGCAGAGGAGAATCTGCTGTACTCAGACTGCACCAATGTAAATGTGAATCTCATCCCCCAAAAAGCATTCAGAGACACTTCCGGAGGGATGAGTGAACAGATACGAGGCACTCGAGCCAGTCAAATCGATACGTAAAATTAGCCATCGCAATGACTGGCAATGACTATGCGGGGACAGAGTGATCATGGTAGAAGTGGGGTGCAGGAGGGCTTTGCCTATGTTTTTCCCACTCTCCCCAGCTTTGGGAGATTTAGGAATTGGGAGATTTAGGGATGTTCTTAGTGTTTAAAGGGTTGTGTGTAAGAGTTTTCCAAAACTTCATTTAGTGTTCATGTCCTATAGCGTAGGTTTGCTACTCTGATGCCATCCAGACGCAAAGCTTTTGGTCCTAATTCTGTTCTTACAGTTGAACTCACTGTCCTCAGTCCCCTTTGTCTCCAGCAAGAGTGGCTTGTTGCGGTTGGCACACAGCTACAAGCTGGACTCCTGGCTGAGCACAGCGTCTGGGGAGCAGACAGCAGCCACCCCACACTGTCTAGGAAGCTCGGGCTCCACCCTCTGAGTCAGACCCGGATCATGCGGCCGCTGCTGGCTGTGACTCGATGTTAGCACTTGCGCATCTGGAACTGCGAAGCGTCCCCTCACTGTCTGGGTGCCTGTTCCTTGCTTTTGCTGTACAGCAGAAACGTTTCATGAGAACCGGAAGTGGAAACACTGTCCTTCCCCTAGGCGATCTGATCATTTTAGACGGTGACACGGGAGCCTCTGTGGCAGGATTTACTGTGTGTCCTTTGTGGACTTAGCCCTGCTTTCTGGAATGAAAGCATGAAGGCAGGGGCACCCTGATGCTCGAAGCCATGGAGAAGTGAAATACTTTCTTACTCCTGGTCCCAAGTCATCTTGCTGCAGTACACGCTGGGGCATTGCTCTGGACCCAGAATAGACTGGGCTTGAGGAGCCTTCCCCTGGTGGTCTTTAGTGGGGCTCCTAACAGTGAGAAAGTCCAGTTCCTCCATGCCTGGCAGCTCCATGTAACACACCCACAAGCACCGCAGTGCCAGGGTCAGAGGCAGCACCAAGTCCTGACACCAGCACCTAGCACAGGGCCTGGCGTACGTCCACTCCCAGGAAACATCTGCGGAATGAATAAATGAATGGGAGGTGCTCTTTATCTGCCAATCTGAAGAGCTGTTCTTGTTTGATCCCACAGAGCCTAGAGAATATCTTGAGCTTTGAGGGTGCATTTGCTCTTCAGGTAAGTGTGAGCTAGAATAAGGGAGGAGTCCTTGAAGATAATGCAGAATACCTGAACTTCATTAACTTTGAAAGATCAGGTGATGGAACCTGTGTGTTTTTTTTTTTTTTTGCATGCAGTGCCCGTGTGAAAGCTGGAGAAAGTGTTTTGGTTCATGGAGCCAGTGGAGGAGTAAGTGTTTCTCTTTTTTCTTTTTTTTTCTAATTTAAGTTTAAATGAGCTTGGGTTTGTGGGTTCACATTACAGTCAAACCATTTCTAATACCTACACTTAGTCACAGGTGCTTTTTTTCCCCTCTTTTCTGCAGTGAAGCTTTTCTTAAAATTCAGTCTTCTGAAGGTGATTCTTTGTCATTCGTTTAGCATCTCTTGGTTAATAAATTCAGCATAGCACCTCATCAATGATGTATGTAGTAGGTTTCTCATCTGTATTGGGTGTGGACCAGGATAAACTGGTCTTGTTTTTCCCTTCAAGTAGCATATGTTGCGAGAATATTTAGTTGCGAATTTTAAACAGCTCTAAAGGTTAATATTAATTCCATATTCCCTCAGATAAGGAAATAAGGCTCATTAAAGCTTTACCTGTGTGCCCAGGACAGCACGGCAAAGCCACTCTGTGAGTTCTAAGTCTCCTCTCTCCCTTCACCGCTTGCCTGCTGTGCTTTGATGACTTTCGTGAAGGGCACAGTGTACAGCTGTGTCCCTAACACCACAACCCACGGCTTAAAATGCTAATGCCGGGCGGGAGCACTCAGAACTTATGAAAGAAGCCCCTCGCGGAAATCACCCTGTAGCAGGCCTGTCAGAAACCTCTTCGAGAGACGGCTGCCCATCTGCCTCAGAGGAGCTTAGAGGAAAAGTTAGAGCTCTGAGGTTGGAATTTAACAAGAAATCCACATGACCTCTATCCTGCGTGTAGAGGCTTTAGAAATTTTGGAGACGAGATTTCACCTTGTTTAAAAATAAAGGGCCTAGGGCACCACAGCTCACCTGCAAGAGGCTGGTTAACCCTTTGAGGGCGCTGTGTGTTCTGAGGAGTCGATGGAAGGAAGTAACCTATTACACGGCAGATTATGCCCTGAGTTATGAGAGTAGTATCCTGAAAACGGGAATTTACCTCTAAAGAGTGGACAGAATTCAGTCCATTTTCACCTTCCTGCACCTTTAGATAGATAAATCATAAGGCTGCACATCTGCCTACCTCTATACCCCAAATAGGTCAGTTCTGCAGGATTTCACAGATCAGACTATTTACTGAGAAACACCAAGGTTGTCCTTAGGAGGCTTGAGAAAATATGACAGATAAACCTTGTCAAAAACTCCTATTGTTTACCTTTACCAAAGAGGCTGTATTTGGGTTAAATTAAATTTAACCCTAAATAACTGAATGTCTATCAAAGACATGCATTTATTTAAATTGCTTTGGCTTTCTGAGAGTTGACTCATGCTCTGTAAGAAGGGAAAAATTTCAGTAGGAAAGAGAGTGAAGAGTTTAAAGAAAATCTCTTTTGATTCCCTTTACCCTCTTGTAAAAAGCTCAGGCGCTTCACTGTGATTTTTTTTTAAAGGTAAAATCCACACTCTTCTCGGGGCTGGCTGTGTTTGTTAAATCCTTGGCTGGTAGGGATGGGCAGGCATCCCGATGTGTGAAGCTCTTCTGATCCTTCCAGCCCTATCGAGGGAGGCAGTGCTGGATTTTGCCTTGTTTCTATTTGTACTTTCTGTCCTCATTGAATTCAAATTCCTTTGGGATTATGTCATATGTTTAAAACAGTGTGGGATTTGTGAGCACAGCAGTTGCACCAATGTATTGGTAGGGAGTGCTGTTAGTGTTAGCAAAATAAACGGAAGGAAAACAGTTGACAATAATGGTGCATAATCCATAGGGAGATAGCGTTACTATTGTAATTGTGGACAAGAATAAACAGTGCCCTTAAAGAAGGTATTGGGGAACCTTAAAAATAGAAGGTAAGGATCTATATTTACATTAAATCTTTAGTTTAAAATGTGGTTTTCTTAGAGGTCTATTTTTATAATTGAAAACTAGAGTAGAAGTCAACTGTACCACACAGTCAGCTGACCACACAGTATCTTGTATCTTACATCATTGGATATGTTTCTTCACGCTTACACAGAGAGTTCCATGTATTTGTTAAATCAAACAGATCCCTGCATAACCTGGCTGCGTTCAGGCTCATCAATCCTGTATGCCTCAGTCTGTAAGGTACATTTCGGGTTTGGGTTTTTGCGACTGCTACACTTTTAGCAGGTTCCTCTCATCATTTTTCATTTTAATTATTTTCTATCTTGCCCAACTCAATCCTTCCTCTGGATCAGTGGTTATCAATAGAGGTGATTTTGAATCTTTCCCTCGTTCCTTTCTGGGACATTTATCGATGTCTTGAGGTACTTTTTGGTTGTCACCTTGAGGAAGAAGATTCTGGAGTCTAGTAGGGAGAATCTGAGGGTGCTGTCAGACCGTCCTTCCAAGATCAGGAGAGTCCCCGCAAGAAAGAGTTACCTGAAATATCAGACAAAGAATGTCACCAGTGCCACGCTCAGAAACTCTGCTCTGATAGTGTGATGCTTGGCTGTGCCATTCATTTGATGGATAATCAAATATATTTCCCAGCATTATTGTTTCAATAATTGCTCTGTATTCCTAAATTCTACTTTTATTTCTCCTTTATACTAAGCACACTTGTCTGGTGTTCTAGTGATTTCCTTCAACCCTTTGGCTTCAAATACCATCTAGAAGATGAGCATCAACTGTACGTCTCCTGTTCTGAGCTCTTTTGAGTCATACAGTGGTACCTCGGTTCACAAACACTTTTGTTTGCAAACAGTTTGGCTCACAGATAGAAGCATTTGACAGAATTTTGTTTTTGTTTGCAAACCCTGCGTTGGGTGACAGACATGACCACGGCCATCTTTCCCACCCAAACACAAATGTGGCCATCTTTTCCAGAATTGTAGAGCAAAATAAGTTTGTGGACTGAGAGCAACTACTTTGGAGATAACATAGCAATGTACTGACCATTGTTACTCTCCTTCTACCTTGGCTTGAAATTTTGTATCATTGTTTTTAGTGTTTTTTCTCTTTAAAAGAAAAAGAAAAAGTTTGTGATCCAAGTCCACTGTGTCATTTATCTGGTTATAGAGCATCAGCGCTTGGGTGAGTGCCGTGCCACTCAGCCTGTTCTGAGTAAATTCTCAATGCTTCAACAAACTGGTTGCTCAGTTACTGTAACCCTTGAATTTGGACAAAGCCCCAGGAGGCATCCTTGTCTCATCTTCACTTCTACATTTACTTTGTGAGGAAGTCACTTCCCTCTAACCTGTGCCGCCTCCTTACTTCTCTTATCTGGACTGTTATATCTGCCCTAAGCTGATCTTCCTTCCCCACCCCTCCTTACCTCTTTGTGCCTGCAGCAGGACTGCAGTGACCTTTCCTAAGCCTACACTGATCGTATGCCTCCGCCGGCTGAGCTCTGAATGACTCTGCATAGCTCTTAATGTAGCCCAGAACGTTTACCTTCCCCTCCCCGGTCCTGTGTTCCTTGCCTCCCTGTCTCTTGTGCTGTGTCTCTGAGCCATGTCCACCCTCTTTCTGTCCTCTGAACCCTTGAGCGCATTTTCACTTCAGCAGGTTTGCCTTGGCCGTGTTTTCTGTCCACACCGGCCCCTCTGTGGCTGCCCTGCTTTTCCCGTGTGGCTTGGTGCTCCCTTTCTCCCCGCCTCGTTTCTGTTTCTGCAGAGCGGCCGCCCTGATGGCCTCAAAACCCCTCCTTCTAAGTCTCTCTGACACAATATCCAGCTACAATTTTTTTTTAGCTGTTACTATTTTCTGAGTTTATTTTATGCATTTATTTATGCCTATGTTTATGGCCTTCCTGCTCCTTAGAAGGTAAGTTTCTTTCATGAAGTACAGCGGCTTGCATGTAATAAGCACTCAACAGTTGTGCAGCAGTGAGTTACTGCTTCGTTGCGGTGACAAAAGAGCTACCGTAAACAGCTCAAAGAAGGAAAGGTGTATTTGGGCTCTTGTGCCTTCAGAGGTTTCAGTCCATGGCCAGCTGGTTCTGTTGCTTTTGGAAACGTCGTGGCAGAGGGATGTGGCGGAGGAAAGCAGCTCACCTCACGGCTACCAGGAAGCACAGGGGAAGACTCAGAGAGAGGGAGGGGCTGGGAGCGAAATACACCTTCAGAGGCACCGCTGCCCCCATGACCTACTTCCTGCAGCGGGCCCTCACTTCCAAGGGCCCATTCAGCTGAGAACTTGTCAGTGGATGAGGTCAGTGCAGTTGTGACCAGTCACCTTTGTAGGCCCTACCTCTGAACACTGCAGTAGAAAAGCATGTTCAAATCCTTTGCAGCCCGCTCCTGTGCACACAACGGAATGTTGAGGTGCTGTGGTTAACAGCTCCAGTTCTGTAGTCTAGTTTGTGCAGCTCTCTTCCTTCTCTGTATGTGACTTGGGCAAGGGGCTTGTTATTTTGAAGTTTGAGCTTCCTCACCTGTAGAATATAGACATATGGACAAATAATGTGTACTTCATAGAATCATCATGAGGATGAAGGAAAGCAATGTGTCTAAGATATTTAATAGCATATCCAGAAAATTATAATGCTAAAGTCATTTTTCTTACTTCTTCGTGTATGCTGTAAGTTCTTCCAGGACAGGTGAAGTGGTAAAAGAATCTTAAATTCATTTTATAGAAATATTTAGTGAATGTTTGCAAGAATGGAGAGAATACATAACTGTCTCGTATTTTATTCTTTCAGGTTGGATTAGCAACATGCCAAATTGCTAGAGCGTATGGCTTAAAGGTTTTGGGCACAGCTGGTAGTAAGGAGGGACAAAAGATTGTTTTGCAAAATGGAGCCCATGAAGTGTTTGATCACAAAGAAGCTCATTATATTGACAAAATCAAGGTAAAATTTTCTGCAATTTTATAGAAGTCACACATTATTTATTGGAGACTTACGTGGTTGTTTTTATTAACTTATTCACGAGCTCGTCTCTTCAAGTTGTTTGCTTTGTCTTTTATGTGTATATGTGGTTTGTGTGCCTATGTGTGTTTTAAAGTTGTAATTAATTTTAAAATCAGAGATGTTCATTGTACAACCTTCACTGTGATTTGCATATTGCATGTATATTAAATATAACCTTTCTAAAGTCTTAGAGCTGTACAAATTGATGTTCTTTAATGCAAATCACATTTTAAGTAAAGCTGGAGCTTTATGTTTACAGATGTGAAATTTCCATGGAAGGTGAGGTGAGGTATCCACAGAATACAAACTGGATCTGTCTAGGCAGGGAATAAAGTTTTGTTACCTATGTGCTTGGGAGGAATAAGTACTATCTCATTCAAAGTGGCAGCATTTAGTTGTTGCATAAGAGTTCAAGTGGATTCTGAAGTTCCTCATTTATACTGTAGTACCAATTTACTAAACTGATTACTTTGCTAATCTTCAAACCCCTAGGAAAAATTAGAATTTCCCAAGTTGTGGATACTTTGCAACTAGGTCATTGCAAACTGACAAAAAACACAAGTGCAAGTTTATTATCACTAAACCCTTTTGCCAGAAAACTCAGCAAAGTGATCCTTTATGTCTGTCTAGGGAACCTAGGACGCAGTACATAGAGCCAATAACATTCTACAAGAATATGTACAACAATGAAAAATGGCTGGTTACTGTATGAATGTGTTTTGTTATTGAGCAGTAATCTAATTTTATTTGTTTTGTTTTGTTTTTTTGGGTTTTTCTCCGGTACCGGGAACCGAACTCACGGCCTTGCACTTGCCAGGCAGGTGCTTTTGCCGCTGAGCTAAGTCCCCAGCCCCAGTAATCTAATTTTAACGCCATGGTCTTGGAGCTTCTATATTTTTCACTGATTCCCTCTACTTAGGTTTCTCCCCTTCTCTATAGATACCATTTCCTTACCCTAGCAGCTCAGCCCCTTTTTCTCCTCCCCTTTCCCATCAAACTTCTAGAGAAAGAAATGACAACTCACCTGCTTTTTCTCCCTTACTTCCCATTGCAGTTCCACCTACATCCCAACTACTTAAACTTCTGCCAGTGGGTCACTGATGCATTTAGTCACCAATCTGCTGGGCATGTCCAAGTCCTCGTTCTGTTTGACTTTTCTGGAGCACGTGACCCTGCTCATATCTCCCTTGTAGCTGATTCTCTTCCTACCTTTCTGACAATTCACTGTCAGTCCACTATCTTTGCATATCACTGATACATTAGTGTGTCTAGGGCTTTTTCCACTCATCTGATCACGCAAGACAGAAACCCTCCTTTCATTTTTTATACCTTTTAATCACCATTCTCCTTCCCACCCATCAAGTTGGTCACCTCATTCTAGCAGTATTGTCTCTGATACGTCTTTGATATGGATCTCTTTCCATATCATGACTTCGCTTAGGTTTCAATTTCTCCAGCCTCGGCTATTACTCATGTTTGAGCTGGTGTCCGCTTTTATATTTTTGCCTATCCTTTAAAAAACAAAACGAACAAACCAACATAGAATCTCTTATTACTAGAGGGAGTTTTCACTCTGTCATTCTCTATTGCTGTTGCAGAACCTAACACAGCACCTGGCATGTGGATTAGTGAACACCTGCTTTAAAAATATTTTTCCAAATTCGTTCGCAGCATTTAGTGTATTTTCACAACTGTGCCCATTGACAGCCTCTTCTATCTCACAGTGGTTTGGATAAGCACCCCTCGGAGTCCCTGTGTTAAAAGTCTGATCACCAGTCCCTGGCACTGTTGGGAAGGAGTGGAACCTTTAAGAGGTGGGGCCTCATTGGAAGTCTTCTGGTCACATGGAAGCATCCCCTTCAAGGGGATATTGGGACCTTGGGCCCTCCTCTTTCTCTTTTGTTATGGTTTATATCTACTTAGCCCTCCAAAGCCTCCTCATAATTGGGGCTTTGGGGAGATGACTGGATCATGGGGGTGATACTCAGCAGTGGACTCAACCACTGGTGAGTTTATAGCTAAATGTGATGTTGAGAGGTGAGCCCTGGTTGGAGGAGGTGGGTCGCTGGGGGTATGGCCGGGAAAGGTCTGTCTCCTTCCCTCCTTTGATCTCTCTGTTTCCTGCCAGCCCCTGAACCTCCTCTGCTATGCCACGCTGCCTTGCAGCCAGCTGACTATGAAATGAACCCTCTATAGACAGTGAGCCAAAATAACTCCCCTTTCTTAAGTTGTAGGTGTCAGGTATTGTGTCTTAGCAACAAATAAAGTGACTAAGCCATCTCTCTCTGCTGCTGGGCCACCATTGGGTGAGCAGCTTGCTCCGCCATTTGCTCCCCGACTGCCTTGCTAGCACACAAGAACATCAGGGCTGTGAACTGAAGCTTCCAAGATAGTGAGACAGAGTAAACTCTTTCTTTTTATAAAGTCATTATCTCAGGTATTTTGTTGTATTAACAGAAAACTGACTAACACACGCCTCTTTTTTTTCTACTCCTTCTCAAACTCTCCTTGTATTCTTTGCATTTTAGTTCCTTGTATTGAGATTCTGCCTCTTGTCTGGCTTCCTCTTGCTCCTCTTCCTTCCGTTTTTGTTTAAATTCCTTTTCATGCCTCAGGGTCCAGCTCATTGTCTGTGGAACGTTCTTTGACCATGCAGGCAATCACACTTTAGCTTTTTCTTCTATAACTTATGGCTTACTTCTGCTAAGGTAGCTCATAGGCCATTGCTTCTTAACTATAATTACAGTATTTTTTATCTTTCTTTCTACCTATGTTTTTGAATTCAGTATGCTCATTCTTTGCCTTCTGGCATAATGCCTGGCACAGGTACTTGTTTTTGTTAAAATAAAATAAATATAATGCAAATATGTATTAGCTTTTCTTAAGTTCCAGTTGTAGATGTTGGGAACCAAAAAAATAAAATTAGTGTGACAAGCAGATTATAGATCATTTGGAACACAGCCAAATACTCACATGCATGTGTGTACATACATACATACTCTGTCTTTGTCTCTTTCACACACACATATACATTCTCTCTGATACTCACACACACACACACACACACACACACACACACAGCCTACAATACCAAGCAGCCATTGCTATTTTTCTTTTTTTAATAAAAATGGGAGTTCCCTGAAGGTCTTGAATTTTTTATTTGTTGTTTATTTCTCTGCAAAGGTTCATTTTGGAGATAGAAGACTTTTAGCTAAGGAAAAAGTATTTTGTATTCCAGTTGAGTGTAGCACTTGAAAATTCCAGGTAAATTCTGTTTTATTACAGCAATTTATGTAATACAAACCTTTATCATTTTAGGGTTATCCTGGTTCCTACTGTTTAGCTAGTACCTTGAAATTGGATCATCTTTATATAACTATATCATTTAAAAATTTGCATTCTCTTTAAAACATAACATTTTTTATGTCACTTTGAAGAATTTTCTGTAAAACATGACACTAAGAGCTATTTTATAGTGTTTTTCACTTGTTATCTTATTCCACTCCTTGTTATTGTACAGAAATCTGTTGGTGAAAAAGGAATTGATGTGATTGTTGAGATGTTAGCTAATGTAAATCTCAGTAACGATTTGAAACTTCTGTCATCTGGAGGCCGAGTAATAGTAAGTAGTTTTCTTTCCCACTTTAAAGTTTTACAACAATTTAATGCTATTTTGCAGTAATCTTTAACTGCAGACATGTTGTTTACATAACAGGTCGTGGGCAGCAGAGGTTCTATTGAAATAAACCCACGGGACACCATGGCTAAGGAGTCTACTATAACTGGGATTTCTCTGTTTTCATCAAGCAAGGTCAGAAAGGAAGTGATTTTGATTTTGGTAACTTAAATATCAGTAGACTAAAAGTTAAAGTACGTATGAAGCTCACTCCTCTGACTAGAGGAGTAGCAAAAGATTGGTCACCCGATTATGAGGAAAGAGTAAAATTTAGTACCCTAGTCAAGACATTTTGGGGAGAGAGAGGGGATAGTGCTAGTAATGAAGACAGTGGGTTTTGTTTTTGTTTTTGTAAACTAACACTCTTTTGGGCAAGTGGGACTTACGGTTATCCTTTAGAGAAATATGTTTTGTATAGTTCTGGACAAGCTGACAAAAATCACAAATTTATGAGAGGTTTTTTGTGGTATATTTCTTAATTCTGAAGTTTTTTCAGTGCTTCTAAAAGTTCAGTCAGATGGTCCACTGCAACAGGTGTTTTTTTTTTTCTTTCCTTTAGGAGGAATTTCAGCAGTTTGCATCAGCTGTTCAAGCAGGGATGGAAACTGGTTGGTTGAAGCCTGTGATAGGTTCTCAGTATCCACTGGAGAAGGTTTCCCAGGCTCATGAGAATATCATTCATGGCAGTGGGACTGTTGGAAAAATGGTTCTTCTGATATGATGCTGCTTTCGTGGGCTTCCAGTGTAATTAGGAGATTTTCTTTCCTCCATCTTCTTTACATTGTCTTTAACATTTATTTGATTTAGTGAATTTGTCTTGAAAAAACAAACTATTTCTTTAGGGAGCAGGGACAGTGGAGTAAAGTTTATTTCATAGATGGTAATCATTTTTAGTGCCTTCTATCTTAAATCAAGGAGTCATCATAGTAGGAAAGAGCATGGTAGTGTCACTTGTACATTCCAGAAATTCTTAACTGATACTTGTTTAATTCTGTGCCATTGACTAACACATACTAATTCAAGGTAAGACTGATTGCCACGCCGACTAATCTTTATTGAGTGTTCCTTAATCAGTTCTGATTATCCCATACCTAATGGGACCCCACAGACTTTCTGGACTTAAAAAAAAAAAAAAAATCCCTTTTCCAAACTAATCTCATTGGTAGTTACCTAGAAGGGATGAATAAGTAATGTCCCAAGAAATTTTTTGGTTTTCCCAATATTTCCCTAAATCGTACAAAATTCACTGCATCACTGGATGATTGTCTGTGACCTTCCTGTATGTTCTTTGAGGATAGCACCCTTCTTGGGTCGATGAAGCTAGGTAGAGAGGCACCAGGTAAGCACTTTGTGATTAGATTTTCAGAGTAGATTTACTTACCTTTTATGTGCTGTGGATCAGACATTTTTATTTAACGAGTCCACAAATTGGACATATTAAGATGATCTCCTTTTGTTTCATAACACAATAATCTGTAAGAAATTCTGCAGATCAATCCTGTGTGACCTAGTTTGCCTTTGTATAGTACTTGCCTCACATTACTTCAGCATAGCTGCTAATGGTTACTTACTAATAGTGTTCTGTGTTGGAAGCCTTTGCCTAAACTAAATAAAGGAATAACCTTTTAGAAGTCTTGTTGTCAGAGTTATGTGTAAGGAAATAAGTTTTGGTGATTGATTTTTGCTTTTGCTTTTCTTCGTGTGAATACATCTTCCTGTCTCTTGCTATATTTTGCAGTTGAAGTTCTTACCTGATTTGTTCTGTAGAATGTAGAATGTTGTATTTTGACATAGAGTCCTACGCTGATAGTGAACAGATAACAGAAAGCACTGCTGATTTCTGTAACTGCGGGGTATCAGTGGCTTCTAGCTCTGTGCTGTGATGTGATTTTCGCTATGAGCATTTTCTGTGTTCATTCACTGTCTCTTTTACAGGTTAAAGTATCCTGTAAAATAACATTTTTGGAAAAAGTATGAAAAAGCAAATTTATTAATCTACAGACTAGCACTGTGTATGCTTCTTAAAGTGGAGGATTCTTTTACATGCACAAAGAGAAAGGAATAACAGTTCTTTAAAAGTCAGTTTAATGTTTTCACATTGGCCTCAGCCATACAGTAAACTAAGCACACTATCTCAATACTTCAAATTAATTTTGAAGATTAAGCCACCGAAACTGTGTGAACAAACTGCCGCATTTATGATTATGTGGCACAGGGCATGTTTTCTACATGAGTATCCTTATAATTCTAGCTCTAGCCTTGTCCCGGTTTATAGCGAACTACATGCACGGGTTAGGGGTTAGGGCTACTATGTAATTCCCGGTGCGGTGCCTGTCCTTGATGTAAAGTAGTGTTTTAAAAAGGCTTTATCCCACCTCTATAATGGAGTAGTTTTCTGTTCCTATTGCTTTGAATTCTGTGACCTGGACTTATATAATGTGTTTGAGACCAAATTGATCAGCCCCCCGAGCTCCAAAAGATGAAACCTGCTATAGGAACTTCAGATTCAGGGGACTTTTGTTCTTGTTTTTGTTTTTAAATAGGCTGTTGATGTAAAACCATAAACTGTTGAACTTTAATTTTTCAGTCTTTGGCTTTCCTAGCTCACTGTACCTTTGGTTTCCATGGGACTTAACTTCCTACCTACCAGCTTCATTTTGCCAGGAATTCCTAAGTTCTGACCCATTCATCATCCTTACCTCAGTTATGCCCTGTCTCCTGATTTGGCAAGCTTTTTAAAAGAGGTTATTCTATTCATCCATTAGCTCAAGAATTATTTACTGAGTCTCAGAAGGCACCTTACTAGAATTTGGGAATGCCAACTAACGTAGACATGGTCCATATCCTTAGTTTGCTGTTGAGTAAGGTCAAAACTTAAAACTTTTTGGAGTATAATGAATGGCGCGTACTAGGCAGGGTTCTTCAGAGAAACGCATATATTAGGAGATTTATTTGAAGCAATTCACGTATGCAGTTGTGGTGGCAAATCAAGGGCGGTTAGAATTTTCATGGTATAGTCTTGAGGAAGATTTCTATCTTTGGAAAACCTGTTATAGCTCTTGAAGCTTTCAACCAATTTGATGAGGCCCATGTGTACTATTAAGAGAAATTTCCTTAACATTGAACATAATTTTATGCAAGCGCATAAATAAAGCACAATGATTTTATGTTGGTATATATAATCAGCCATTATTAGCAGTGACAGGGACATAGAAGAGAGATAAGATAGTTAGTATAGCTTGAATTTCCAAATACACATTTAATTTTTCAAATGCATGTTTGAGCTCTATTCCGTAATAGCTTTGTCCACAGAGGTAAAAAACATTTTGGGTGCTTCTGGAAAGGGAAAAATCCGATTGTATTTTATAATGTCCCTAAATGTGTATTATTAAAGCAGAAATTATATGCATGGCAGGAGGCTTCCAAAATTCACAAAGACTTTTTTTTTCTAAGCAAGATAACTTCCCAAGAACAGCAAAACCTACCCGGTCACTTCGACCCTGCTCTGCGCTTCCTCAGCCACAGACTAGAAAATACCTCAGCTCAGTCCTTGGCATCTCTTTCTAACCGTAACAATGTTTAGTGCAGTGCTTTTAAAATGTGTCATTTTAAAATTGTCATATGACAGATATACTATGCTAAAGGGCTCATTTTGAGAGCTTCATACTTCCAAGGAGAGGGACTAGGAAATATATGCCAGAAATTTAGGTTCGCTTTGGTCCTCATAGGTCACATATGAGGACAGTCCATGTATATTTAAGAGTCAGCCTAATGCTGATCCCAAAACCACTGTGTGATACAGATGTCCATTAAAAAAGGGTGAATGTGCCCACAAGTGAAGTCTGTTTTATTTATTCTCAACTCCATGTAAAAATACCCATGAAGTTCGCAATAATACAATAAAGTGAGAAGGAGACCCTGTGCCAGAATCCAATTGGAATTTCTGACTCTAGCACCAAGCTCTGCACTCACTGGACCAAATTAGCTGCAAGGTAAATAGGAAGAAGCCTCAGCTTGGTCACTGTCTCTAACTTAGGACACAGGAGCTGTGCTGCGTGGAAAACTACATTCTGTATTGCGCAGAAATCACCTGAGCTATTTGGAGCTGACATCTATGCCCACGTCATGGTTTCCTTCAATTTTGTGTTCATATTTTTTTCTTTATAAATTGCAGATTTCAATTTTCCATGAAGCTACAGGTGAAGAAGGGGGAGACAAATTTACACCTTGGGTGTTGCTGCTTTTAGGTGTGAAATCTTCCCCAAAGCCCAAATGTTAGACTTTGCCTAGAGGCAGGGCTTAGTGAAGGGTCTTAGGTGATTGAAGGCATGCCTTCCAAGGGTATTTTTTGGACACCCATTTCTTCTTTCACATCCCCACAGTGAGATGAAGGGGGTTCCATGGTATACTGACTGCCTCACTACAGGCCCCAAATCAATGGGCCCTACTAATGATGGACTGAAACTTCCACAGCTGTCCACCAAAATAAGCCTTTTCTATGAGCTGATTATCGCAGGTACTTAAAGCAACAAAACTAACACGGGTGTGCAGCCACCGCAGAGAAAGCATTGATATGGATGGAGAGCAGAGGTCCCTGGGTTGTAGCAAATGCTGGAGAGAATTTGACACTACAAATAATCTTTGTCTGACTGGAACAAAGCCAGGTCATTCAAGAACTGGAACAGGAGACGCTCACACTTTAGTCCTGATTTCAGGTATTTATACTGCTTGCCTACAGGTATTGATCAGAAAGGAGCAGAGCTCCCTTACAGACGGATAAGATGACCAGAGGCATTATAAAATTCTCTGATACAGTTGTTAAGAGCATGGGTTAGGGAGGCAAAAGATTTGGCTTTAAATGCTAGCTCTGTGACTGGCCAGCCATGGGGTTCTAAAATAATTATTTAATTATTTGGAGCCTTAATTTTCTAGTTAGCATGACGTGGTAGGTATGAAATGAAATGAAAGTAAGATAATGGCTGTGTGGCCCTTAGCGTGCCACCTTGAACAAAAAAGTTTTCAAATACACCTTTTGTTGGTCATAAAGAGTGAATTGAGAGAAAGGGGGGGGATGGAAAGGGAGCATCCTGAAATATGGAGCAAAGGAGAACCCCAAAGGCAGGTTCCCAAAGTGAGAATATAGAACGCTTACTTGACTGTGTGCATATATTTGGTAACTCTCCAAGAATACGCGGAAAAAAATGCAGGAAAAATATGATAGAACAAACAAATGAAAATGCAACCTTGGGGTTGTAGGTATACTTGAAAAATAGCCCAGAAAAATAAAAGAAGTAAAGGAAACTTTCCTGAGCTAAACAAAAGAACTGTTTTTCACTGATTATATCAGTTTTGTCATATTACTGGTAATATAGCATAGCATATCCTTTAAGGTTTTTAAATTTCACATAATTTGATTGGGAAAGGAACATACAGAAGAATCATTGTTTGCATCTGTATTATTAAATACCTAGAAAAAGCAAGAGGACAAATGTAATGAATTCAGAAGGGTGGATGATCATGTAATAAATGTATAAAAATCAAATTAATATTGATCCATCAAAAATATTCACAATTGCAACACCAGTATCATTGCTACCTTAAAATGTAGTGAGGCATAAGCAGCCAAAATTATAAGAAACATACAGGGCTTTTAGAAAGAAAATTGGAACACTCTCTCCCAGGGAACATAAAGGAATCTTCAAAAGATTCTTGGTCAGAATCGTGTAAAGTCTGTTCATTCTCTAACAGTTCACAGAAATATATAACAAAATCTCAATAGGGACTTTTAGAACGTTGGCAAAATATTTCTAAAGGATTTTTAGTGAGAAAAAAGGCAAATTGCCAGAAAAATTCAGAAAAGAAAATGACTTGGAGCCAGTCCCAGCAGACATGAAATTTTTCTCAGAAGTTAGTTACCGGACTCATAGTGATTGTAATGCTCCAAGTGAGAATGGATCACTGGAACAAAATAAACTCTAAAAGTGCTCCTTATTTTGTGGGTCATAAAAACGACCTTTTAGTAGGAAAAGAGATTATTAAGTAAGCAAACTGGCTACCCTTTTAGTAAAAAATATAGCATTTTTAGTGTAAAAAATTTTTAGATGGTTCCAAATGTTAATTATAATAAAATATCAAATAAAGACATAATAGGGGCTGGGGATTTAGCTCAGTGGCACAGCACTTGCCTGGCAAGCACAAGGTCATGAGTTTGATTCCCATTACCTGAAAAAATAAAATAAAAAAAAAAGACATGGTAGAATATTGTCCGTAATCTTGAAAGGTGAAAAGTCTCTTAGACAATTACTCAAAAGCCCAAACTATGAAACAATAAAGTTAGCAAAGTAGAAAAAGATCTCCAAGAACAAAGATTATTAATCATAAAAAACCTTCAGAGTAATTAGCAAAGGAAAAACAACCCACAAGAAAAGTGAGTATGAGTGATAATTCATATGAAGTTAAGGAAAGTGTGTTCAACCTCACTGGCAGGAGGGATAGGCCCTCCTCGCATTGAGGAGGTACATTGTTTGTATCCTAGCAGACAGATAGGTAATGTATTTATATTGAAGTATGTGGATTTCCTTTAACCCATTAGTTCCACTATAGCAATTTATCCTGAAGATATAGACATGTC